CCCCTTTTGTGTTGCCTGAGTAAATTATATAAGCATGTAAACTCCAAATGAGTACAATATATTTTCCCTGACTGAGCAAGAGTTGAGTAGCTCACTGATCCAAATCTTTCTGTTAGGGAAAAAGAACGACCATATCAATAATTTGGATTGACCTCTTATTAATCTCTGTACGTTGGTGCTTTTTAATTATTTATTTTTTCCATCGCAAGTCCTTAGTTTTGATAGAGAGTAGTGTTACGTGAGAATCTCACTCAGCAAAATTTCATTTTGTGGAAATTGATCTTGAAATAGTGCCCACAACGAGTAAATGAAGAGAACAAGCGAAATTTCATTTGAAATTCAAGTTGTTAGGCTTAGGGATCTATTGGGATTAGGGAAATTAGGCCGAGGGAGCTACTCTTAAAATTCAAGAGAGAAGGAACAAAAATGCTATATTCTCTGAGCTGCCCACCTTTTGACTATGGTTTTTTTTACTATGAAAAGGCTTCAAGTCACAAGCTTGACCTTCCGTTCTAATTTTCTACATTCTTTCACTTTCTCATGGCCAACATATATATCTAACAAAAGGACATCATGCTTAGTTTAGTACAATCTCCTCGATCGGAACAAACATAACGAATCATTTTTGGATTAATCATGCATAACTTATAGACTATTAGTGTCTCATTTGCATTGTAATATGAATATAATATGACGCTATAAAACAAATTGGACTATTATTCTTAACCCTCTATTTTTCTAACCTAGCCTCTATTTGCATGGCCCCATGAATGATTGAAGGAATTTGTTGTGGTGGGTCACAAACAATAGAGTTTTAAAAAAATCTCAAGAAATTATCTTAAATAACATGAGAGAGAAAGGGCTATGGGGTAGGGTTTTGATGTTTCTATTGTAATTTCTAGAGAGGGAGAGAGAGTGGGGTAGGGTTTTGATGTTTCTATTGTGATTTCTAGAGTGATTTCTAGAGAGAGAGAGAGAGGGAGTGTGTGTGTGTGTGATTGTTGGTGAAGAGTAGTGGAGAGAGAGAGTGCTTGTTGGTGAAGAGTAGTGGCCTTGGATTCTATTTCCCTTTCCAAATTTAATTAAAATAATAAAGAAAAAAACAACTGTCATGATATGATTATATGTACAAAAAACTCAATATGATCACATGTATTATAAATAATAACATGCATAACCCGTACGACTTAACCACTGTATATCCTATTAGTGGGGGATATTTATTATCACAATTTCAATTCAAAATCAAATTAAATTATACTAGGTGGATGGTGATGTATCTTTTCCACCAAAAGATGCCTTGATCTCCCTTTTTCTTCCACCTTATGTTCTTTCTTGTATTTCTTTTATCAAGTTTTAAATTCTTTCGCTCTTGATGTCCTTGTAGAGTCTAAAGCACTTTCTAATTTATTTATCTTGGTAAGTTAATTTTGGTTAGGTGATGGTTCGTACGTTGCTATTATCGGTGTTATTTAGTGCTCTCACCACTGAGTTTGAAACGTATTAGAGAGGATTCTCTCTTTCAGTGAAAAGATTGGAATTGGGGAGATGCGATCCAAGTGACGAGCGTCTAGTATACCCCAGAGGTGGAGAATTTTAATTGAAATTTCACTAGAAAATAGGTCAGAGTGACTGATTGCTACTGAAACACTCTCTGAAGATGATTTTTGTATTAGTTAAACATTAAAGATGGTTTTCATATTATCATCCTACTTTTAAGATGATTTCTATGTGAAAATACAAAAAAATGAGAAGATGATATCCTATACTTCATATATTTTACACTTTCATACCTTGTGGTACTTGACTTTAAAGATTCCTTTAAAATCAAATCATGTGACTACCGGTCGTTGCCTATTTTTTGGAGCCATTTTTTGCTATATTAGACCGAATCCCTCAAAATCCCTTGTTCTTCCTCTTCAACTTTGTTAAAGTAAGAAAGAGAGAGTCTTGGGTAAATTTCCCTTAAATTGAATATCGAGTGTGTGTGTATGTATAGAGAGATCTAGAGAGATTAGTGAGTATCCTTGTCATAGGAGGAGATTTCCTCCTTGACGCCTATGTGGCATAATCATCATCATCCTCATAAAGTAGGCACAAATCCTCACTAACTCATACTCTCTCTTCTACTTTATGAGGATGATGGGGATTGTGTCATATATGCGACAAGGAGGAAAATCTCCTCCTATGACAAGGATACCCATTAATCTCTCTATATATATATATATATATATATATATATATCCTTCGGGTTCCATTCTAACCTTCGGGTTTTTTTGTTCAAAGATTATTATCTCGAACTTCGGTTTGTTGTTATGACTCCTTCAGAGAAGATTCCTAAACTACCCCTTATGTGTGTGTCTATATATATATATATATATATATAGAGAGAGAGAGAGAGAGAGATTAATGAGTATCATTGTCATAGGAGGGGATTTCCTCATTGACGCCTATATGACACAATCCCCACTATCCTCATAAAGTAGGAGAGAGTGCGTGAGTTGGTGGGGATTTGTGCCTACTTTATGAGGATGGTGGGGGGGGGTGAGGTTTGTCCTCATAACCAATGTGGGACTAAACCCACTACTAACACAATATTATCAACAACCCCCCTCAAACTCATGTTGGATCAAACACGTGAGTTTGCGTACAAAAAGTCAGAATCGATGAATGGGTAAGGTATTTGTGAATAAATCTACAAGCTCGTCAGCGGATGAAACATGAGGAAGTAGAATTGTCTTGTTCTTAATAACTTGTTGACAGACAAAATGACTGTCGATCTCAATATGATGGTCCTCTCATGGAATACTGGATTATTAGCAATCTGGATGAGACTCTTATTATCACAATAGAAAGGAGTAGGAGTCGTAACAGAAATACAAAAATTACTAGAAGACGACGAAGATGAATAATCTCTTTAGCTGTTGTGGATATTGCACGATACTCTGTCTCGGTGCTAGAAAGAGCAATAACATCTTGTTTCTTACTCCGTCAGGAAATAAGGGAATCACCAAGAAATATATAATAACATATGATAGACTTCCTGGTAGTAGGATCACTAGCCCAATCAATATTAGAATATGCACAAAACTCTAACTTGGATATAGCACGAAACAAAAGAGAGCAAGTGCTAGTACCCCGGAGATACCGAAGAATCCGTAATAAGACAACATAGTGTGCAGAACATGGGGCACTAACAAATTGACTGACAATACTGTTTTCAGCGAAAGTTGACTCCATTGTCGATTCCATTAAAACTTCGATTTGTTTACAAGAAATTACAATGAAAATAAACGAAAATACAACTCTCGAGAAAATAACACAGAAATTGTTTATCAACTCCTGCTTTGTGGGACTTTGCCTGTGCCGGGAGTGTTTTAGCTCGTAGACCACCGATTCACAGATCGTGAGGGTGTTTAAGGATCCTTCCTTCGTTTATCAAAGTAGGGATTTGAAAGCGAGTATCTTATCGATGTAAGATATTCACTCTTCCAAAGATCAAGTCTGAGCTTAGATCTCTAGGAATCACCAAATGATGCTTGTCAAAGGGTGAAAATTCTCTCTTTCTTCCTTAAAATCACCAAAAGCTCAAGTCTCTTCTGCTCCAAAATGCTCTCTGTTATTTATCTCGTGCCTAGGGAGGTATTTATAGGGGTATGAGTGCACAACAGTTGAAATGGAGGCGAAACAACTGACCCGATGAACCCTCTTTGGTCGCGGCAGCCAACACTGCCGCGGCTATTGGCGTGGCAGTGTGGACTGCCGCGGCCAAGGAGGTAGTTACCAGCACGTTCCATCGTACTTGAAACCGTTCTCCCACGTATTTTAACCACCTTTTTCGTGCTTTAACTATTTTTCCACGTCAGTACACGTTCTATCTTTGATATGCCGCCACGTGGGCTTCAAATAATCATCGTACAGCTGTCTTGTAACCACCGCAACACTCCCCTATAATAGCCACGGCACCATAGGTTGTCGCCTTAGCCGCGGCACCATATGCTGCCGCGCCATGGCCGCGGCACCATGAGCTGCCGCGCCTTAGCCGCGGCACCAAGTGCTGTCTGTTGGTGTGTACATGTTGTCTCACTTCCTTTGAATAATTCCTTCTGATTAAGAGAATGGTGTTTATCATCTTCTCTTTGCCTTGAGTGGTATTTGGATGTCTGTAAGTATTTTTTGACGCCTACAGATACCCCCTCCAAAGTATCTCAGACTCATCATTTTTTTGGAGAGGAGTCTGGGACACTTTGGATATGATAAGTTTTCCTTGCAATTTCTTTAGTACTT